TCTCCGTGCCCTCTGCACCGGGGAGGAAGCGCAAAGCTGCCGTCAGCCCCCGCCCGCGAGACCCGCTGCCCACCCGTGGGCCCTGGAGCACCGCTGTCCCCGGGATGGGCTGTCGGGCAGCTCTGCTGGGTGCTGCAGCCTGCACGGGCTCCAGACCTCCTTGGTGCTCCCAGCCCACCTCTGGTCATTGACCTGGGGTCAGCAGGCTGTGGTCCCTCTACACCTCACAGTCTTCCCACTCCTGTGCACATCCTAGGCTGGAGGCAGGACCTTCTGTTACAGACACCCAGAGTCCTGCTGGTGCTGGGGACGTGTCTCTGCTCTTGCTCATGCAAGGTGGAGTGTTACCTGCTCTCAGCTGGGTGGTTTCTCCTATGAAAGTCCCATCCCCTCTCAAAAGTCTTTCTAAACTCAACCCTGTGAGTTTGGGATGTGCTGAGCAATGGCAGCTGAAGGGCCATAAGCTGCCTCTCCATTCCTGGGGAGGGCATCTACAGCCTGGCTGGGACGCTCACAGGCAGGCAAGGAGACACTGGGTTCCTCATGTGGCAATTTTCACTCCATGAAACAAATCAGAGTAGGAAAGGGTCATTGCCTGCTGCTTGGAAACTCCTGGTGCCCACCTGAGGACCCTCACCCTGCAGCCTGCACCTGCCTATTGCCCCCATCTTCATAGGCAGAGCCTGTCAGCAGAGGTGAAAGAGCTTCTCCCAGGGTAGTCAGTGGAGGCACTGCCCAACAACCTGTCCTGTCCATGCAGCCTGGTCCCCGGACACCAGGTTTCCAGTAGGTTTGGCTTAGAGATGACCCCAGCCTTGCTCCACCTCAGGAGGTCCCAGCTGGACCACTCACCTGGGGGGAAGTTGCAGTCTCCTGAGGAATGCATTCACCTGTCCCAGATGACAGGAGAGAAGATCAGCAGGTGTCCTGACAAACCCATCTCACTGATCCTGCACCATGCACACTGAAGACCCCGGGGAAGGGGACATTCTCCCTGTTTCACCCCAACATTCATCCCCTCTCCCACTCGCAAGAGCATCAGCCTAAAATTTCCCCACCCCTACCCTCGGCATCATGCTAGCACCTTCTGAACCCCAGGCTGAGCAAGGAGCTCCTCAGGTCTTGGAAGCACCCAGCCACAGGGGACAGTTGGGGGTGTCCCCGGGTGTCCTGTATCAGCACAACATTTCAGGTGCATTGACCTGACAGCTCAGCAAGGGCTCCACCAATGGGAAGCTGGTGAAAGCCTGACTGGTAAGTGGCCTCATCTCCTTCCTCTCCCACCTCACCAAAGCCTTTGCCTCTCCTCCCTCCATCCTGACCATCTCCCCAGCCTTGCCCACCACGAAGGAGCAGCCCAGTGCACCCGCATGCCAGGGGAGAGGCAGCAGGAGGGGCTCGCAGGGGGTTACCTCTGTTGGCCAGGATGAAGATGGAGTCTGCAGGGATGCCCACCTCCAGAGCCAGCTGCTGGAAAGCCTCAATGAGCTCCTCCCGCAGCTCCGGACTCCTCCCTGGGAAGGGAACAGGCCGTGAGTGGGGCTGGTGTGAGGGGGGGTCTGCATGCAGCCCCCCAACCACCCACCAACCTGCAGAGCTCAGGCAGCTGCGGGCAGGCCCAGCACCAGCCTCCTGGTCCTTTCTAACCTCTCCCCTGTTATTTTTGACCAGCTTTGACCAAGGGCTTGGACGAAGTGGCTTTAATGTTTCTCAATCATGAAAGACATCATCTCCTGACACTTCAAGCCTTGAGTTTCTTCCAAGCAGATATTTCCACCTTCATGCCAAACAACAGGCTGGTTAGGACACCCACTGTGTGGTGTGACTATAACCTGAGCTATAAGACTCAATCTCTGCAGGGCTGAAGATGAGCTGCTCCAAGGCACCACTTCCAAAGCCATGGTCAGGTCCCTCAAGACTAAGGGACCTGAAGGACCCTGGAGTGGTGTTTCTCAGCTGCCTTGGCCCACCCCAGAGCCTACTTGCCCACAGGTGCCATACCCAGACATACCATACAGCTTCAGAGTGGTGCTTGGGCCAAAACTACTTTTCTTCTTCATCAGAATGACAGCATATTCTTCATAGTTGGTGCGGAGCACGTAGGAGCGGATAGACACATCCCATTCTGTGTGAGACAGAGACACAGGGGACATCATCCCTGCCCCCCAGGGAGAAACGGGGCACTGTAGGACAGCCCCAGAGCTGGGGGCTGAAATCGGGCAGCTAATTCAAGAAAACAGCCAATTTTGGGGAAGCAGACTCTGATAGAACCCTGACTCCCTTCAGCCTCATCAGCCTCTTCTCGCTCAAGGCGATTGGAAATCAAGTGTTGCAAACAACTGAGACACCACCAATGCTCCTGAAACGTGGCTGGTGGGAGCCTGTCCCAGCTGGGGACCTTGGAGACAGGAGGGATCTGCTGGAACATCTTACAGTCCTGTGCCTTTGCAGGGAGAGTGCTGAAAACAGCCCCTTTCCCCCAGCTTCACTCTGTACATTGGCTGGAAATGACCCAAACCGTGGAGTGGCTCCTGAGCCCTGGTCTCCTGAGCCCCTTCCCCAGCCACCCACGCTGGTTCCCACCACCCAGGCACGCCAAAGCTCTTGGGGCTCAGCAGGTTGGCCACAAGCCCAACTTACTGGGGTTATAGTAGGTGTATTTGCCAGGGGTGCTGGTTGTCTGGTACTCTCCTGAGGTCTTTGTGCAGTCACCTTGCCTGCAGGGAGGAAGAAACAATCAGCTGCTTGGAGGGATCTTTTCCTCTGGTTACTGCACAAAAATCATGTCTGGGACACCGAAGTCATGGCACGGGATCCCCAAAATCCCCTGCCCAAAGCATTGGGTGCTGGAGCCCAGTCCAGCCCCTCCTCAGGGCTCTGATGCAGACAGAGCAAGCGAGGGCTGTGTCCTGCCCCAGCCCCCGGGCGATGGAGCACCCCTGGGTGGGGGGGCTTTAGAGGAGGCTCGAGCACCCACGGCAGTGCCCCATACCGCAGCCTGGTGCTGGTGGTGCTGATCTGGTTGGCGCTGGAGCCGGGGCCCAGCACCAGTGTGCCCATGCTGAACTTCTCCTTGTAGTTCTTCATCCATGTGCAGGTTGTGCCAATAGCGACGTCGTACCACTTCCCATACATCTGTGGGGACAAGAACGGGACGTCTCCAGCAGGAGCCCTCTCCCCCCAGTGGGACATCTCCCAGTTTTCTGCAGAGCTGAAATTTTCACGACCCGGAGAGCAACTTGGGGGTTATGGTGCAGGGTGCTGGGGACAGAGCTGCCCCAGGATTTGGGAAGCAGATGGTCACTGAGCAGGGTTTTTCTGGGTCCCCTGACCACCAGGCAGGGCTGCAGGCATCAGGCTGGCTTCCCACCGTGTGTCCCAGGGGAGCCCAGGCACAGCACCAGCCCAGCACCCGAGCGGGGTTGTGCAGAGCCTGGCAGGGGACAGGGGTGGCTGTGGGGTATCTCCTGGGCAGCCTGTGTCCCACACCAATCCCACACTTTGCAGGCTGGGCAGATCAACAGGCATCTCACAGGGCTCAGCTGCCCTGCCCGCTCAGGCTCCAGCTGCCCTGGCTGGGTGTTTGCTGGGGTGAGGGCACCCCAAATGCTGGTGCTGGCAGGCTGGCACCCCTGGCTGGCACCCAGGGACAGCCATGCTCTCAGGGCCTGTCCCACATGGCCTGACATGAGCATAGGTTGTACCACCCTTCCTTCGGGAAGAAAATGAGATAAAACTTCCCCCCACCCTTCTGCCCCCAGAATTAAGGTACCGCAAGCTGCCGTTACCCGCTCAGCCTCAAAATTCTCCTGCACTTGGATATCCTCATCCTGGTCCCCGACGGGGGTCCCGCTGGCCACAGTGAAAAGGAGGAAGTATAGGAGACCCCAAAACATCATGACCGCTGGCTTCAGAGTGCTGCTGAGCCCCAACACACCGGCGGGATCCCTGACTCTGCACCGCCCACGCTGCACAGCGGTGTGACCTTCAGCCCGTGGCCAGCGGGGCCAGCCAGCCTGGCTGGGGGGGTGCTGG